AAAAAGATAATTATATATGAACGCTAAATACACCCTTATAAATCTCTCTGGTAATTCTTTGTTAATTAAAAAGAACCGTACACTAATTACCTTGACCTTTGTGGTGACCTGGTGGAGACTCTGTTTACACGGTGGCTCTCAATATGGCGTCACAATATCACTGAGACTCAAACGTAAAAAAAACCAAATCGATTCATAAATGATAAAATAATAGCGAAGGATTTGGCTTTTTTTATTGACTTTTATTTTTCTTCTTGATTTTTAATGTTTTTGTTATTTTTTTTTACATTTTAATGAATTTTCTTTATTTTATTATTTTTCATATTAAGTTAAATATAAATAGATGAACACGGTCGCATATATTACCTGTGGAGTATAAATTAACCCAGATTCGTTCACCTGTGCAGCAACATGTGGATTGGAAGCTGCGGCCACAGGTAGAAGAGGGGGAAGGGGGGGGGGGGCAGGTAGAGGCTAGTAATTACGGTCACGTCATAAACATTCCATAAGGTGAATGGATTTATTACACAAAATTGGGCTGTTATTTTTATCGGTGGTCATAATAGATTAGGCATAGCTTAGGAAGGCTTTTGTTGACTGTGTGTGTGTGTGTGTCTGTGTGTGTGTACTCAGAACACACACACACACACACACACACGTTTCTACAGAGTATGACAACAATACGTACAAACTTGTCAGTGTCGCCTCCTCTTGCCCTTGGGTACACACGTAACATACAAGCTTGTCAACAAGTTTTCACATTAATTTGATAAACTTTGGCGTCTCTTCACAGCATCATTGTGGACGTGTAGGAAGTTGAGTGTAGGATCTCCTTCACATCCTTGGGAGGCTCTTCAACACCATCCAACCCATACTATGTCGTAATGAATATAACAATAACAACGCCCAGTTCCACCCATTGTAAAAATCATCAATAATTCGTAAGATTTCTTGGGGGTTCACTCCTTACCTTTCGTTCTGTAACTACTCTGAAACACATACACACACACACACACACACACACACACACACACACACACACACACACACACACACACACACACACACACACACACACCTACTCTTATTCTCTGGTCATATTTGCATTAATTTCAAACCTTAATTCAATGTTTTGATACGAAGAGAAAAATATATTAAATTAAATGAAGAAATAATAGTTGTTATTAAAGAATTTACCTGTTAATTGAGAGACTTTCTTGGGAGAAGTGGTGAGGAAGATAGCTCTTCTCTACGTATGTGAGAGACATGGTAGAGAGAGAGAGAGTATGAGCTGAGATGAATCAACACAGACTCTTTACCTGTTCTGAGTCAGCACAGGTGAGTGATGAGATACCTTCCTAAAGCCTTCATTAGTGGACCAAGATCTTCCAGGTAAGAACGAATACATCAACCTAACCTAACCTAAGCGAGCACCAGAGAGGTATAAAGAGACACAGGGAGACAGAGAGAACACCTCAGAGACAGAGAGATGTAGAGAGACAAAAAGAATATAAGAGAAACACAGAAACACGTAGAGACAAAGAGAACACCACAGAGAGACAGAGAGACAAAGAGAATAGAGCAGAAGTCACCCCAAGGGAGAAATTGTTCTTGTTTCCCGCGTGACAATTTTCCCTTCAATTTCTCACCTATATGTCTTAGCCCTGCCAACGACGAGAGAGAGTTATAATCATTTGTTTGTGTGTGTGTGTGTGTGTGTTTACAGGTTCTAGAGCCATCAGGTCATCATAGGTCATCAGTAAATAGGTTCTACAGACACCAGGTCATCAGTATACAGGTTCTACAGGCACCAGGTCATCAGTATACAGGTTCTACAGACACCAGGTCATCAGTATACAGGTTCTACAGACACCAGGTCATCAGTATACAGGTTCTACAGACACCAGGTCATCAGTATACAGGTTCTACAGGCACCAGGTCATCAGTATACAGGTTCTACAGACACCAGGTCATCAGTATACAGGTTCTACAGACACCAGGTCATCAGTATACAGGTTCTACAGACACCAGGTCATCAGTATACAGGTTCTACAGGCACCAGGTCATCAGTATACAGGTTCTACAGACACCAGGTCATCAGTATACAGGTTCTACAGACACCAGGTCATCAGTATACAGGTTCTACAGACACCAGGTCATCAGTATACAGGTTCTACAGGCACCAGGTCATCAGTATACAGGTTCTACAGACACCAGGTCATCAGTATACAGGTTCTACAGACACCAGGTCATCAGTATACAGGTTCTACAGACACCAGGTCATCAGTATACAGGTTCTACAGGCACCAGGTCATCAGTATACAGGTTCTACAGACACCAGGTCGTAAAATCTAACATCCTTGGCGCTGGAACCCGTAAAATAAGTAAAACATGACCACATAACTTCTCATAAGAGTGACTCTCTAATACCTCTCAGAGCAAGTCATGTAAAACAGACCTAAGTTTACTGAAGACTGGAGTGGGCGGGGATGGAGGGTGTGGGCGGGTGGATTGGGTGGGGTTGGCCGTGTTTGGAGGGGATGAAGGGTGTGGGTGGTGTTGGGTGGTGTGGAGGGTGTGGGTGGGTGGGGTGGGCGGCGCGTGAAGGGAAGAAATTACGTGAATATTTTCTACTAAACACACACACGCCCACACACACACACGCCCACACACACGCCCACACACACACACGCCCACCCTAGCTCGTCTCGAACAAGCACCCACACAGTGACACCATCTGAAATATGACTCTTAATAAACACTGCAGTTATATACAGTAATTTACAAGTTTTATTTTCATCTTGGTGGACCGACAAACTTCATATATATCTCTAGACCGTCAGAGGCGTTAAATATAAATATGGATAATGGTGTGGCTATTGTGGGGTGTGGGGTGAGGGAGGTGGTGTGGTCGTGGCAGAGGTGGGGGTCGTCTACATAGGTGAGATCAGAGTCATGATATAGTATGGTGGTGTGGTAGCCCTCATAACCACAGCCTCCATCTCCTGACGTCCAGCACCTGAGCTTGTCCACCAATCAGGCGCCATTATTATTCTACTCACTCATTTATAAATTTGGCAGTGTCACATTTTGCCATATATACGTAAACGTCAGTACAGGGAGACGGAGTAAAGGAACTCTCAAAGGCAACTGTACAGACTCATATTTTACACATTAACCTCAACAATTACAGCCACTACTTACCTCCTCATGTTATAATTCCTTCACCAGCAATAACACTTCACTTGTTAACACGACCACAACGGCGACAAAACTGACCGCCGCGTTTCACTGCTTGTTTCAGCCATGTCAATATTATTGTTCTTATTGTCCACTTTGTATCTGTAGTTTTCTGGATAAATAGACTATTTTAAAATCACTATCGATTCATATAACATCTCAAAGCAAGTGTCAGAGCTTCAATGGACGGAGTGAATCTGTCTCACCACTGTGGAAACACTTGGAGTGCATCTCTCTCTCACTGTAATCACCAAATATCTGATTCATTGATATGGAACTCATGTGTCCCACTGAGATGATTTCTGTATAACTTCACACTTTATAAACACATATATAACAATATTATTGAATAAATATTACTATTATTATCAATTATATATTTTTATTATAATTTAATATACACTCTGATATTAGTAATTGTGTATAAAGTCACCAGGTATGATCAGCGCCACCTGTTGTGAGACTAGGCGCCGTGGTGCTGTAAGAAGCGCCATCTAGGGGCTGAAGATCAAAACTGAACCAGAGGACTCGTAAGGTTGGCTTCAGTGGTTCATTCTGACTGCACAGGTACTACAATTACAAGGAAAGTTACAGGTACAAATACAGATACAGTATATGTAACAGGTAAACGGGAAGTACAAGGACAGATAGAAACATAAATGGTAGTACAGGTATTACATGTACAGTAAGGGTTACAGATCTAAGGTACAGATAACACGTGCATATACAGGTACAGGTAAATTACAGGTACAGAGACAAATACAGGTAGATTCAACAATGTGCTATAAACAGTAGGTCATTCTTTTTCCAGAACTCAAGCTACTAATATTTTGAAAGTTTCGTGAAAGACTATTAAATTAAAGTTTTCATTCATATAGTTTGTATTTTCTTGATGTAAGTTGAAACATTATTATTATTATTATTGGTTTTTCTTCTATCTCCCTTCTTCTTCCTTCTCTTTTTTCCTTCTCCCCCTTCTTCTCTTTCTTGCTAATTCTCTCTTCTTCTCTGTCTTCCTCTTTTTATTTCCCTTTGCCTCTACTCTTCAACCCTTTGCCTCTACTCTTCAACCCCTTCCTCCTTCTCCTCCTTCCCTCCCTTCCACTTACCTTCTCCCTTCTTCCCGTTTCTCCATTCCTCCTCTCCTTCCTTCGCTCCCTTCCCTCTTATCTCCTTTCCCACTAACTCCCTACCTCCTCATCCGTCCTCCCTCCCCCCCTCGCCTCACACCATAAAACCCGACTGCTCTCTCTCTCTCTCTCCTCCCTCTTGTTTCTCTCTAGAATGCCCTTTCTTCTTCTCCATTGTCTTCTTTTCTCTTATTCCTTCTTCCTTTTAGTCCTTCACGTCTTTTAATCCCTCTCCCCCCCTCTCCCTTAAATCTTCCTCTCCCCACACTGATGCTATAAACTCATCGATGATTCTACTCCATAAAGTTTTCCCTGTTACCTCCTCTTCCTCCTCCTCCTCTTCCTCCTCCTTGTTTCCCTCCTTCTCTTCTTCCTGTTTGTCTTCCCCCTTCTTCTCTTCCTCCTCCTTGTCTCCTTCTTCCTTGTCTTTATATTATTATTGTTTTCATTTTCACCATTACTACTACTACTACTACTACTACTACTACTACTTCTACTACTACTACTACTACTACAAAGGTTGCTTTTATTATTATAGTTATTATTATTATTACTTATTACACCAGTACACCAACACTCCTACCACTAACACCATTACCACTACCACTACCACCACTACCACTAACACCATTACCACTATCACTACCACCACTACCACTACCACCATTACCACTATCACTAACACCACTACCATTACCACTAACACCACTACCCTACCACCATCACACTGCCGACACAACTTCCATTATCGTCTGTTTTCTCAATACGTGTTCGTCGTTTTAAGCTTTCTTTAAATTCTTTCTTTTCTTTCTGTAATTCCTCATATTTTGTTCTCTTGAAGAATCCGGACTATAGGGAAAGAGAAAAGGAGACAGGTGAGAAAGTGTTGGTGAAAGTGTAGGTGCAAGTGTTGGTGCAAGTGTTGGTGAAAGTGTTGGTGAAAGTGTAGGTGAAAGTGTCGGTGAAAGTGTCGGTGAAAGTGTTGGTGCAAGTGTTGGTGCAAGTGTTGGTGAAAGTGTTGGTGCAAGTGTTGGTGAAAGTGTAGGTGCAAGTGTAGGTGCAAGTGTTGTTGAAAGTGTTGGTGAAAGTGTTGGTGCAAGTGTTGGTGAAAGTGTTGGTGAAAGTGTTGGTGAAAGTGTTGGTGAAAGTGTTGGTGCAAGTGTTGGTGCAAGTGTTGGTGCAAGTGTTGGTGAGAAATGTGTTTTATTATGTTGTTTCAGAAGACTCGTTTATAGAGTTGTCTTGAAATGTATGTATGTATGTATGTATGTAATATACTGAAATAATATATCAGTATATTGACTAAGAGGATATAAAGATATACTGATAGATATACCTACATTATAAAGTATATAACACAGTATAAAATCAATCATATAAACTAATATACTGATGTACGAATCTAATAAGTATACTGACAGATATAATGATCTTTTAAAGGGTTAGAAACAAGTATAATGATGAGCATAACATAAGCGATATACTTACGTAGACCAATATACCACTAATTATAATGATGAGTAGAATAGCCCCAAGCACAGCACCGAATATTGGCCACGGTCCCACCTTAGCAAACACGTCGGCGAGGTCTTGGGGTACCTATGGGACGTATATATATACTGTACATACATATACTGTTAGTCTATTATGGTTAAATGAGAAGCTTCTGTGATTCGTTATACATGGTGAGACTATTCATTGTTGTCACTTAGAATATTAATGGTAAAAAAACGATATATTTTTTTTTCTTTATCTCAGTCTTCCTCATTATCTCTCTCACTTCTATTATCTCTCACTTCAATACTTACGTCCTCTTCCTTGATGGTAACTAAGGTGCTGGTGGTATAGGTGTAATTGGGTCGTACTGTAGTTACGTCTTCCCAATTTATATCTTTGTGGTCGTCCTGGTGGTTGTTCTGGGCAACTCCGGGACTACCCTCATCCATCATCATCATCATCATCGTCGTTGTTGTGGTCGTTGTTTCTGTGTCGTTGTCTAGGTTCATCTCGTCTCTTCTGGCAATATTTCCTGTTGTGTTCTGATTATCTTCCTTCAACACTTTAAGGTATTCTTTGTTGACGTCCTGATCATGTCCTGTAGTTTGCCCTCCTCCTTCTACCCCTTCGTCTCCTTCTTCTCCACTTCCTTCTTCACCTCCTCTTCCTTCATCACCTCCTCTTCCTTCTCCTCCTTCGTGATGACAGAGCTGGTTGTGGAGGTCAGGGGTGAAGGATTGGCCATTCACAACCACACACGGCTGAGTGATATCCACGTTCATGATCGTAGTTGCGTTGTATGTGTGAAGGTGGTAAAGCTGAGAGAGAGATGGTGAGACATGAGAGAGGGTGAGACAAAGAGATGTTATTAAAGTTATATATATAATACATACTGTACTCATCTGTCTAAGCCCCCTTGAGTACGATTATCAAGACCCTCTTCCCTGAGTCCATGAGTACAATAACCTACCTTCAACACAGCAACCATGACATATTGTGAAATCTCCACACTGATAGAACTTCCAGCCATCATTGTAGACACCTCACACCTGTACAGATTAATTAACAGTTTCATCATACTTTTATTATCATCACTTAATTACAGATATTAAAACAAAAATATCTGTATGTATATTATGTATGCTGTATGTATATTATGTATGTGCTCCATTTATATACACTATTTATTCAGCCTAGCTAGCAGCGTGTAGCAATGTATTTACCATGTCCCACACGCTTCATTAATGTGCCTGGCGACATATGGAAGCTGTTAATGTATCACTTGCCACATGTCGCCCGAGAGGCTAGTTGACCCCCAGACAGAGCAAGGAGCGCCACCTCCCTTGTGTACATATCTGTTTATCCAGTAAATAGAACCTATGAAAACTCTACAGGTGTTTGTGTTGGCTCCTGTAGATAGAACTTGATACCCAGAACACATGCAATATTCACCTCATTTATGTTAGTGTAATTTTAACAGGTAATATTTAACAGCTATACAAAACATCACATGTATGTTCAAGTTAAAAATGAGTATATGTTTGTGTTTGATGTACTTACGTAATTTTTTCACATTCTATTTTGTCACTGTTGCAGTCAATAGTGGCGATGTGTGGTCCGTGTGTGGAAGATG